CTGCGTTTTACCCACCGAGTACAGCGTTTCGTGGCCCCATAGGGGGCCCCACCGAAGGTCCCAGTGGCACGGCCCGCATGCGTCCGCCACCACCCAGCACACCCCTTGCCCTCTGAGTTTCACCCACCCAGTACAGCGCTTCGTAGCCCCATAGGGAGCTCCACCGATGGTCCCAGTGGCACCGCCCGCATGCGTCCGCCACCACCCTGCACAGCCCTTGCTCCCTGCGTTTCGCCCACCCAGTACAGCGCTTCGTGGCCCCATAGGGAGCCCCACCGAAGGTCCCAGTGGCACCGCCCGCATGCGTCCGCCACCACGCAGCACAGCCCTGCTCCCCGCGTTTCACCCACCCAGTACAGCGTTTCGTGGCCCCATAAGGAGAGCTCCGCCGAAGGTCCCAGTGGCACCGCCCGCATGCGTCCGCCACCACCCAGCACAACTGCGGCATTCACAACTGCATATGGTTGGGTCTTTCGCTAGGCTATTTTTTTGCATGGCTCCTAAGTTGGGCGCTTGCGGGCGGCTGGGAGACCACAGGCAATCGGTCCACTGTTGGGGGTGCCCCAAGAATGGTCCCAAAGGCATGGTCCCTGCGGGGTGAGGATCTCTCAGCCCGCACGGTTTCTCGCTCGCTCTTGCATTTATTTGCCATGCGGCATTGACTCGCTTGTGCGCGTGGTGTTTGTTAAGGATTCTGCATTGTAGGGCTCTGGGCTGTTTCAGATTACCCAGGAGGAGGAGAGGGAGGAGGAGGAAAACGAGGAGCAGGAGGAACAGGAGGAGGAAAAGGCGGAGGAGCAGAAGCAGGAGCAGGAGCAGCAAGAGGAGGAGACGAGGATAATCCTACGGGGGGAGGGAGGGCAAACATGTCGCGCGGGGCTAGGACGAGGATAAGCGTTCAAGAACGCTCTCCGAGCGTTCCAGAACGATCTGAGAAGGCCGCGGTGCCAGAAACATCCTCAAGAGCCGCGGGATCTCAGACATTTTCCGCTTATTGGAGGCTGCGTAATAGGGGGCGAGCAATCGTGGGGGGGCAGCGAGGGCTGCCAAACAGCGACCCTAAAGAGGCCCTTTGGGGGCCCTGATAGGAGGCCTTTAGGGACCGAAAAAGGCATCACACACATACACACAGTGATCGCCCCTCATTAATTCGTACTCAGGTTTATCCCCCACCGATGGTATCCTCGTCTTGGCGTCGTCTTCTATGGCATGCTGAGCCCGCTCGCCGTGGCATATGCAGCCATATGGCCCAACACGCAGGTTGAGGCTTGGCGTCGGGAAGCCGCCAGGGAGTTTCGCATCGCTCGGACGTGAACATGTCCTCTCGGCAAGGGCCATCGAGGAGCATTGTTGTTCACCTGGCGAAGCAAAAACGCGAGAAACCGAACAATGCGATGCGCGGGGAGTGGACGTCCAATCGACGGCAGGGGAGAGTGGATACGCTGGGCTTGCGTTGCAAAGACTCGCGCACTGCACTGGAGGCCGTCGACGCCAGACGCAGGAGAACAACGATTGCACTGCAAGGCCAAAGCGAGCAAACACAAGCGTGACGATAGCATCGTGCGAAGCTGTGCGTGCCAGGGTGAAGGTGGGTGGCCAAGACATGCGAAATTTGTGTCGTCACAGGAGAGGCGCGCAGCCATGACCGCTGCGTGCCCTGAGGGTGCCGGTGCGACTGCTATCTTTAAGTCGGGCCGTCCCTCTACAGGAGGAATATTCAAAATTGTCAAACATAATCCAGGCGAAAGACCCAACCATTTGCAGCTGTGAATACCGCAATAGTGAATATCTTCTTGGGTGGAGCTCCCTATGGGGCCACGAAACGCTGCACTGAGTGGAGGGGGACGCATGCGGGCGGTAGCACTGGGGCCTTCGGTGGAGCCCCCTGTGGGGCCACGAAACGTTGTACTGAGTGGAGGGGACGCATGCGGGCGGTAGCACTCGGGCCTTCGGTGGACCTCACTATGGCGCCACGAAGCGCTGTACTGGGAGGGGGGGGCGCATGCGGGCGGTGGCATTGGGGCCTTCGTTGGAGGTCCCAATGGGGCCACGAAACGTGTGAGGGGTGTGTCGAAATGGGTGTGGGGGGCGCATGCGGGCGGTGGCACTGGGGCCTTCGGTGGAGCTCCGTATGGGGCCACGCAACGTGTGAGGGGTGTGCCGCAATGGAAATGTGGGACGCATGCGGGCGGTGGCACTGGGGCCTTCAGTGGAGCTCCCTATGGGGCCACGCAACGTGTGAGGGGTGTGCTGAAATGGGTGTGGGGGACGCATGCGGGCGGTGGCACTGGGGCCTTCGGTGGAGCTCCCTATGATGCCACGAACCGTGTGAGGGGTGTGCTGAAATGGGCGTGGGGGACGCATGCGGGCGGTGGCACTGGAGCCTTCGGTGGAACTCCAGATGGGGCCACGAAACGTGTGAGGGGTGTGCCGAATTGTGTGTGTGTGTGTGTGGTGGGGGGGGGGGGCCATGCAGGCGGTGGCACTGGGGCCTTCGGTAAAGCTCCATATGGGGCCACGAAACGTGTGAGGGGTGTGCCGAAATGGGTATGGGGGACACATGCGGGCGGTGGCACTGGGGCCTTCGGTGGAGCTCCTTATGAGGCCACGAAACGTGTGAGGGGTGTGCCGAAATGGGGGGGGGGGGGGGCGCATGCGGGCGGTGGCACTGGGACCTTCGGTGGAACTCCAGATGGGGCCACGAAACGTGTGAGGGGTGTGCCGAAATGGGTGTGGGGGACGCATGCGGGCGGAGCTCCCTATGGGGCCACGCAACGTGTGAGGGGTGTGCCGAAATGGGTGTGGGGGACGCATGCGGGCGGTGGCACTGGGGCCTTCGGTGGAGCTCCCGATGGAGCCACGAAGCGTGTGAGGGGTGTGCCGAAATGGGTGTGGGGGACGCATGCGGGCTGTGGCCTTCGGTGGAACTCCCGATGGAGCCACGAAGCGTGTGAGGGGTGTGCCGAAATGGGTGTGGGGGACGCATGCGGGCTGTGGCACTGGGGCCTTCGGTGGAGCTCCCTGTGAAGCCACGAAGTGTGTGAGGGGTGTGCCGACATGAGCGGAAGGCGAGGAGGAGGAGGAGGTGTAGGAGAGAAGGAGGAACGCGGGGCGACGTCTCTTCAAAACGATCACCCAACACCACAGGATGGTTGGGAAATAGTCAGGGGACTATTTGTTTGACAATTTTGGAATATGTTTTGAGTATTTTCCTTCGTCCAAAATCCCCCTGTAAGGGGGACACGCCCGACTTCATGCTATCTCGTGGGGGGGGGGGCGTGCATCCGCGCGGCCGCCCCGAGTCACGGGGAAACTGAGCACGCGTGCCGGCGCACGGAGCGCCCACGGGCCACGACCAGGCGAGAACCCAACACACACGCATACACATACAGTGGAGGCCCATGCCAAAAAGCACCCTGCTTGCCTCCAGGGCGCCCCTGGTTTCTTGGGCGTTGATGGTTTCCCTATGGGAAGCGCGACGCTCCCGCACCAAGAATCAATGGACGTCCGGGGGGGCTCAGGGTTGGGTTTCTCGTGGAAGGTTTTTTTGTGGATTGGCCTCCACTGCACACATCACGTGCAAGCGCTGTGCGAGAAGCCAGCGGCACAAAAAGAGCCTCGGCGCCCTGCTGGGTGCTCCCCAGCTCCGGCGAAGACGTGTCTCGAGCTGGCAGCAGATGGAGAGGAGGCACAGTCAACCCGCACAGTAAGGATGGGCAACTTACCGGAGGGAACTCTTGTATCCTTGCCTCCCCGGTCCATGATTGGCCACTTTCGCCGGCCGCGCCCCGCCCAAAAAACTTCGAAACGGCCTCTCAAAGGCCTTCGCATCTTTATCGTGTGCATCCTTCTGATACGGGTCGACTGTAGGAGGAAGGGCCCTCAGTGAGGCTCGTGCATCCCATTTCTGCTGCACAGACCACACGAATCGAGATCACACTTGAGAGAATGGCAACCGGCCGCGGCCCTGGCCAGCCCGATCCGATCCTCTACTCGAGCGGTGGGCTGCACGTCGGCGCAGGCGACCCGTTGCTTCTCAAACGCATTCAGGAGGTAGCGAGTAGTCGGGTGGATGCCAAATTGTATTTAGCCTCCATCCCAATTGGCGCTCAAAGAGGAGGAGAAGGGGGAGGAGGACGGAGGAGAGGAGGTGAGGGAGGACGAAGAGGAGGACGACGATGGAGGACGCTGGGGTGGAGTGGGTGTTTGCATGTACGTGTGCTCATAGTCATCGCAAGTATGGTTGACATCTGTGCTCCCTGTGCCTCGTCCACACCCATATGAGTTAGCTCTGAGTTGCGATTTCCCTGAGAGGGGTGTTGGAGTTTTTGCGGGCCAAGCACGGTATTAGATACACGTTTGCGCGATCGGGGACGCTTGTCCCAGGGCGGTTGGAAAGTGTGTGCCACCATTTGATGCCGTAGGAGTATAGTTCCCCAATCAGAGCTTGCCTCTGTAGGGGTCCTAGCGGATTAAAGGTTTAGGTGAGGTGGATCGCCGATGTCGGTGGCCGGGCCCGGGTGCCCAGGTGCCCGGCGGCGCCCGGGTGCCTGGGTGGCCGGTGAGGTGGGTCGCCGATTTCGGTGGCTGGGCCCGGGTGCCCGGCGGTGCCCGGGTGCCTGGGTGGCCGGTCCGGTCGCCGATTTCGGTGGCCGGGCCCGGGTGGCCGGGTGCCCGGGGTGCCCAATATATAGCCCAATAGCATATAGCCCTATAGCCCTATAGTTTTATAGCTCCATAGCCCTATAGCCCTTTAGCCCTATAGCCTTACAGCCAAATAGCCCTGTAGCCCTATAGCCCCATAGCCTTATAGCCCTATAGCCCTATAGCTCTACAGCCTTATAGTCCTATAGCCTTATAGCCCAATAGCCCTATAGCCCTATAGCCTCATAGCTTTATAGCCCTACAACCCCATAGCCCCAACAACAATATGATTGTTTGTTTTTCTCCGGTGTCATAAGCTTCCAGCCGCCCTGGGACAGGCGTTCCCGATCGCGGAGCGGTATACCGTTTCGTGCCCGCTGAAGGTCGGGCTGGCAACGACGCAAAGTCCTGGCGCCGTGCCGTTCCAATTCAGGTACGCGGGGGCGAAGGGCATCGCCACGGTCAGCAAGCGCCTGCAGGGGCGGCGGTTGGTCCTGCGGGAGTCGCAGGTCAAGATCAAGGCCCCGACGCCCTGGTCCGAGCGCGACGCCGGAGTGCACGTGCTCGAGGTCATCCAGCCCATCAAGAAGAGCAAACATCGCCATGCACTCTGGAGCGAGGTCCGCATTGGGCTCAGCAGGGGCGGTGGGTTTCGCGCCAGGTCGTCAGGTCTTCCTGGGTCGGGGGGCCGAGTCGTGGCCGGAGCTCGCCGTGGCCTGCAGAAGGCCCCTGCCTCCCGTCTTCGGCGCTCCTCACGGTAGCATTCATGGTTGTAGATAATGCTTTGCGGAAGTCCGGGCAGATTTTTGAATCGGCCCGATGCGACTCCCCCCCCCCCCCCCTCGAGCCCCTCCGCTCTCCGGGCGCGCTCCGCGCGCCGGGGGAGGGGTGTCGGATCGAGGCTGGGTTCAGCGCCGGTCCGAGAAGTCCGCGCGGACCCTCGAAGCCTTGCGCGTGTGCTGTTCGTTTGTTCTCCTGGCCGTCGTCCCCGACGAGAGGAAGCTGGCCAAGTTCAACAAGCAGTTGATGCTGGTGCTGTCCTCGCTGATGGGGGTGGACCGTCTGCTGCTCCGCCTGAGGGAGCTGCAGCAGCAGGAGGTGCAGCGCTTCTGCCGCGCGGTCTCGCAGCTGTCGGACTCGGGAGACGGGGGGGGGCAGAACGAGGCAGAGAAGAGGGACAGGCTCTCCCAGAACCCCTTGCCGGAGAGGCTGCCGAAGAACTTGTGGATTCGGGCGTCTGGTGCTGGGACGGCGGTCAAGGAAGGAGGGTTGAGGCAGGGTTGGACCTAGACGGTGTTTGGGCGATTTCGTGGGCCGTTTTCGTTTCGATTTCGTTTTGCGGTAAAGGCGGATTGAAGACGAAACGAGGGAAAACGAAAACAAAGCGAAAACGAAAAACGCCGTTTAGGTTCAGCCCTGAATTGAGGGATGCAGGAGAGGGGCCCTCTTCAGGGCCCCGAGGGAGCCCCCTTGGGCACTGGAGGTGCACGAAAGCTGGACCTTCCTTCCCCCCCCTGTGGATTGCCCCACCAGTACTCGAGGCTCGATGGATGTTCTCTGCTGTTGGTGCCTCTGGTCCACTCCTCGGCCCACGGCAGCGAAATGACGAACCAACGACACACACCCGTACCCATAGGGGGATCGGAGAGGGCGATGGGTGCGTGTTGTCGGATGGGGGTCCCCGCTCGAACGGGAGCGTTCCCCAGGGTCCGACAGCCCGCACCCATACCCATCGCCAGTTTTCTTCCCAACGACCCCCCTATGGGTATGGGTGTGTGTGTGCTCGTGTGTTGTTCGCTCGTCAGCGAAAGGCGAGCCACGGTGTGAGCGCCACGTCTTCGGGGCTGTCGCTTGGCCTTGGCCGCCAGGGGCAGCCCCCACCCTCCGACGCCGGCAGGGCTTCAGAGATCCCGTGTGCCGGAGGGTGTGTGTGCCTTCGTCCTCTTCTCTCTCGCCGCCAGGAGCAGACCGGCCCCTGGTTTTTTTTCCCTGCTCCTGTCCTCCTGGCATCGCTCGGACGTGTGCCTTTTTTTTCTCGGCGAGAACCATCCAGGACCATCCTGTACCATCGAGCAAAAGAAACACGCACGAGACCGAAAAATGCACGGGAAATGGACGTCCGAGCGACGGCAAGACGACGGTGACACCGACCCCTGGCTCTTTCCCTGCTCCTGTCCTTCTCGCTGCCCGCTGCCTTTGCCCCTGCCCCTCGTTTCCCCCTCTTCGCCCTTTCAGCGCCCCCGCCTCACGGGTCCCGGCCTGCTTCCCCCGGCCGGAGAGGAGGTGGCGGCACCCACAGAGAAGAGACCTCGGGAACTTTCAAGCGGTCGGCAACGCAGCCCACGTGGTCCACGACGCAGTCCACAGAGGCCCCCTCGCAGGAGAGCCAGGCGAACGGGGCCGCTCGTTCTCCGAGATGGCAACCTCCTCCTCCCCACTAGATTCAGGAGGGGAAAAAACACAGACACAATTAGTCGCCGATTCCCCAGAAAATATATGAAAATATGAGAAGGGGGGAAGACAAACATGCAGAACATATGAGAAAATATTGGTGAATCCTGTTATGTGTGTCTTTTTATTGAATCGCTTCGCTCATTCCGCCGGCCCATTTCGCATGACTGAGCCTCTTGGGGCCGCTGGGGCCTCTTCAGCGTCGCTTGGAGGCCTCCTGAGGGCCTCTTGGTGGCTTTTGGGGCCTCTCAGGTGCCTCTTGAGGCTTCCTGGGGGCTTCTTAAGGCCGAGGGCTCGAAGTTTTGTTTTGTGTTCTCCCTTTGGGGCATCGCTTGGGGCCCTCTTGAGCCCCTCTTGGGCCGTCTTGGATGCCTCTGGGGCCGTCTTGGAGCCCTCTTGGGCCATCTTGGGGCCTTCTTGGGAGCTTCTTGGGCCCTCTTGGGGCGATCTTGGGGGCCTCTTGGGCCGTCTTGGGGCGTCGGGAAGCCGAAAAGATGGACACGCCAAAATCTGCCCAAAACCCAAGGAAAAGTAATGGATTTTGCCTCTTGGGGCCCTCTGGGGAGTGCTCTTGGAGGCCTCTTGGGGCGTCTGGGGGCCATCTTGGGCGTCTTGGAACGATCGTGTTGCATCTCGGAGCACTCTTGAACCATCTTGGAGGGCTCTTGGCGGCCTCGTGGCCCTTCTTGGGGCTCTCTGGAGGGCCACGGGGGCGGCGCCCAGGAGGAAAACTATCTCTGACTCGAGTCTGCCGGGGACCCCCAGGGGCCGCCCCGCGCGCGCGAAGTAGAAGTATTATTTAGCAGTTACCAGAGATCTTAGCACGCCTCTGGCCCGTTGGGCCGGCGAATTTGTGTGTCCCAGGGCCCCTCCCCCTCTCAGCCTGCCCTGAACAAAAACCGCAACATGCAGCCACGTGGCGTTGTTTTTCCATCGTGGCACAGGCCAGCATCAGACCTTGAAGAGGCGTGAACTCTGTGGAGTGTGACAGAATACGAACTCCATCTCCATGTGTTCGACAATATGAAAGCCGTCGGTTGCGCTTCCGAGACCCACTGTTTCTCAGTTGCCCGGAGGAGTTGTGTTCTGCCCTCACCGTCTCGGGGTGTGTGTTGCTCTTCGTTCGTCGTGGCGATGTGTTTTGCCCCCCCTCGTCCTGTTGAGAGTTAGCAGGGGCACCAAAGAGGGCCTAAACTGGAGCATCTTCAGGCTCCCTTCTGGGATCTTGGGATCTCTGGGGAAAGCTCATGGCCTGAGAAGCCCATTGGAGCACATATACGCTGGCGATAATGTCATCGCTGCACTTGCAGTTTCCCAGGGGGCAGTTCGTCGGCCATCTCGAGCTGTCTTTTTGATAATTAATTGGGCCCTTTCGGGCAGTACTCGGGTCATCTTGGGCAACAGGAAAGTCTGCCTGATCCTTGACGCCAGCAGTTAGCAATGGCATGTGAAAGGTGTCCCCCGAGCGTATGTCGAATGGTTGCACGTGCTTGTCGGGCAGGGCTAGTTGACTCCAGATGGAGATGTTCAACCAGTCCCAGGCACAGTCGCATTGTATCGGCTACACGGGGAACATTCCCACGCAAGGGCATGGGGAACTGTAAGTTGTGCGGGGAGGCAGCCACAGCCAGTGCGTACCGTCGGCCTCGCAGGTACCTGAAGTTTACGCAACTCCTGTGAGCTGACGCACTGAGACCGAACATACTTAAGCTTTCCAGGGGATGGGGCGGCATGTGACATGTTTGTAGATGTTCGTATCTAGATATTCTGGCCGTCGCCGTAATAACTCAGAATTGCGAGGGGGCCCCTCTTGTGGGTCTCTTAGGCCCGTCCTCGGGCCGTCTTCGGGGCCTGCTGGGCCGTCTTCGGGCCTTGTGGCGTGTCTTGGGGCCATTAAGGCCGTCATAGGGGGTCACTTGGAGCTTCTTTGGGACGATCTGGGGGATGGGGCCCGTTGGATTGCCGTGGAGCCTTCTTGGGCTCGTCGATTGTCTGGAGCGCCCCAGTGCGTATGTGTATAGATGTAATCTTACATATACATACACGCACACATCGTTCTACGCGTATACCGAATTGCATGTGGTAAACACCCGTTGTCTCCCCCTTCCAATTCTACTCATTGTCTCCCCCATCCACGTGCTGCTCATGCGCCTCGTTCTCCTGCTACTCCCCCCCTCCTCATTCTCACCCCCCCACCCTGCCCCCGCCCCCACCCCCCAGCCCTCTTCATCCTCCACGCGCCCAATGGACGCTGACTGCCCTCCAAGGCAAGCCGCTCCCCGCAGCGCTTCCTGGAGCTCGCGAAGCTACTTCCCACGGAAGCGCCTCACAAGCCGCCAGCGAAGGACGACGCGCTCGAGGGAGAGGGGAGGGAGGAGAGGGAGAGTGATGAGGGCTAGGGGGAGGGGGAGGAGCAGGAAAGGAAAAAGTTGGAGGAAGAAGCGAAGCAGGAAGACGGGAGGACGACAGGGAGGAGGGGGGGAGACAGTTGTGTGAAGACCCCGGCATGTGCGGCTCGATATCATATTCGTGGGCCGTCATACATATCGACCTTTTGCCGGGGCCCGCTTTTCAGATTGAGTCGTGGTTGTGTTTGTCGTTGGTTCATGTTGGAAGCCGCAAGGTGTATGGAGTCGAAAGTCGAACATCCACCTCTTGACTTGTTCCCAGATGTGTTCTCACCAGGATTTCGAGGGGAGTCCAGCCGTGGCAACGCGAAGTCCCCCCGAGACCCAGTGAGGCCCAGAGGCGTCAGAAGTTTGCGGCCTGGGTGGGGGCAACGTCAAAGCCGCGAGCGAAGGAGGAGGTGCTCCACATCCGGCAGTGGCTGCGCTGCGGGGCCCCGCTGGGCGCGGACCCCCACGCCTTCGATAGGCGGGATCCTTCCAACTTCTGCCTCGTTAGCATCCTCACCATGCTCCTGTTCCTCATCCTTGCGCCAGAGGTGAACGAGAGGAAGAAGAGATGAGGATGATTGATGGAGGGGGGAGGAGGAGGAGGAGCAGTAGCAGCAGAACAGGGTGATGGAGAGGGGAATGACAAGCTAGGCACACTCCCGCAATACGTCGCCATATCTGACATCCCACCCCTCCCACGCACACCTTACCATTTCTTCTAATTATTGTTCATCCGCCGACTGGGGTGCCCTGGAGGACCTTGATTACCAAAGTGGCCCCATCGTGTGATGCTGAAGAGGCGGGCTTTACGCATTGGGGGAGGAGAGAAGAATAGGAGCCTGGAGAAGTAGGAGGAGCAGCAGCAGAAGGAGCAGGGACCAGTTTCGAGGATCTGATCCTTCCTCGCCTCACTTTCCCTTCTTCTTGCTGGTGTTTTATGTGCTTATCTTGATCTTAGTTGTTATCGCTGGTGGATTTTTGTCGTTACTGTCCTGTTACTGACCAGGTGAAACACAAGCGGAAAACAGAGGGGATGGCAGCGACGACGAACGAGTCTGATCCAGAAATGTGACCCGCGCTCGGGCGAGTGCGCCGTTCTCAACGACGGGGGCACGATCTTGCAATAGCGTTGCAGCGAGGGCATGATGCTTGAAGGGTCGAGTTTCTTTCCAATCAAACAGACACATTGGGCACATGCGGTGCGCCGACAACATTTCCGCGAGAGAGGCGGTGGTAATACTGGACAAGACTAGGGGAGAGAGGAGAGCAGTAATCCCAGTGAGTAAGTGTTGAGAATTGGGAGTCTGAGGCACCCGTGGATAGCCATACTTTTTTGCGTTGACCGGCGCAGCTTGCCGCGCAGAGGTCACACCGAGGAAATAACGCCGCGTGTTCAAAAGCGTTTGCCGATCCCCCTTCCTTTTCTCCCTCTCCCATCTTGTCTCCACGGATACCCAGCGGTGAAGGCGCAACAGCTGTCACATCCGAGGGGGCATTGAGCAGGCCGCGGGCCACAAGGGTGGCCACCTGATCCGAACAGTTCGAGCAGAAACGCATAAGAACCCGTTCGATCTGCCAAACATTTCATTCTGAATTGGTCGGCTCACTTTCTGACCTGACAAGCTCCTCCTCCTTCTCCTCCTGGACCTCCTCCTCCTCCTCCGCTCCTCCTCCCCGACCTCCTCATCCTCACCCTCTGAATCCTGAACCGTTCGACCTCATCCTCCGCTGCCCCTTTATATCAGCGGCCGATGGGCACGCATCTGGCCGCCGAAGGGTCGTGGGCTACCTGCACGACAGGCTGCTGTGCCGGCTGCGGGACCGCAAATTCGAGTGCCCGAGATCGTGCCGCCGCAAGCTCGCGCCCGACCCGACGAGGACGATAGGGCCCAGGCAGGTCGTGCTGAAGCAGGAGCTCCTGGGAGTCTGGGCGGAAGAGGGGGACAGGCGTGGGGAGGTGGAGTGGGGATGGGGTGGGGCAAGGGAAGAGGATGAGGAGGAGGGAGAGGGGGGTGGGGATGATAGTAATGATGGTGTTGATGATGATGATGATGATGATGATGATGATGATGATGATGATGATGATGATCAGGATGAGGATGAGGATGAGGATGAGGATGATGAATTATATTATGATGAGGATGAGGAGGAGGAGGAGGAGGATGAGGATCAGGATCAGGATCAGGATCAGGATGGGGACGGGGATGAGGATGATGATGAGGAGAGGAGGAGGAGGAGGAGGAGGAGGAGGAGGAGAAGGAGGAAGAGGAGCGCAAGAAGCAGGAGGAAGACAGGAGGAGGAGGAGGCGGAGAGGGACGATGGGCGGATACAGATGTGGAGAGCCAGGGGAGGAACATGAGAAGTAGGAGTTGGACCACGCGCAGGGGGGAAGGGAAAGGAGGGAACGGATTGGAAAGATGAGGAAGAGGAGAGAAATCGTGAGTGAGTGGAGGAGAAAGAAGGAGCGGAGGAGGAGGATGAAACATAGGAGCAAGATAATGAGAGGGAGATGAGCTCAAGATGAGAGGAATGTGCAGTTGGAAAGGGGGTGATGAGAGTGGAGGAAGCGCTGGGGAAGGGACGCGACGATGATGAGGACGACGAGAAAACGGAACATGAGATGGTTAACGTGCTTATTCTGTTGATTAAAAATCCGTGTGGCTTCTGGGGCTTGTCAGGCCTTCCGTGGGACCAGCTAACAGTCGGGAGTTCCTGTTGAGGAGTACTGAGACGATCTGGGGGTCTCCGGGGTCGCAAGCTGTGGTGTTGGCGCTTTCGGCCGTCGGGGAGAATCTCGCGGCCGTCATTGGACTGCATTGGAACATAGTGGGCTCGATGTGTCACGGTCTTGGTTGGTAGTGTGTTTGCCGTTGCGCAATGGCCGTGGATCCTCCAGCCCCGACCTCGCAAAGTGACGCGTATCCTTTTGGATAGCGGAGAGGAAACGCAAGGATTAGAGGGAGCGAGTCGAACGCATTAGTTCACGACGCGGTCTCGAGCGGCACCAAGAGTCATGTGTGCACACTTGGGTTTGATACGCCCCTTGTGCGCATGTTTCCCCTTTTGGCACGTATTAGAATTCTTCACGCTTGGCGTACCCCCAACCAGCCAATTCGGAAGCCCCTCCTATGAGAGTTAATCCGGCAAGAGACGAAGCGACACATGTAATGGAACAAAGCGGGCAACCGGGGTGACCATAGAGGTGTTTGGGAGCAAGGGGGGTCCTTGGGGGGCCTTTTCGGGCCATCCTTGGGGCCCGCGTGGGGGTGAGGGAATGAGGAGGATGAATACGACGACGACGACCACGACGAGGAGGACGGGGAAAAGGAAGATGATGAGGGCAATGACGAAGACGAGGAGGAGGAGGAGGTGGAGGACAAGGCGGTCTCTTGGAGTCATTCTGGGACTTTTTTGAAGGGATAGTGGGGTCCTTGGGGGGCTCTTTTGAAGGGGCTTGGGGCACTCTTGGGGCCCTCCTGGGGCTGTCTTGGGGGTCTGCTGGGAGCCCTGGAGGGCATCTTGGGGCTATTATGAAGGACGTCGGTCAAAAAAGAGGGGGTCGTGACGTTTGGTACCCCACCTGGGGCCATCAACATCGCCTCATTGGGCACTCCCGGGCCACTCTTGGGCCGTTCTTGGGCTCCTTTGCGGCCGTCTAGAGGGAGCTGTTGGGACCCTTTCAGGCCTCTCGTGGGCCATCTTGGGGCCTCAACAGCGCATCGGGAGCGAAATGGCAAGAAGGCGAAACTCAATTATTCCCCAAACGCTGCTTGCACTTAGGGGTTCTTGCTTCTCCTATGATGAATTGGGCCGTGTGGCCGATGTGGCTTCTATGTCGTCGCCGTCGCCGCCCCGTCGCCGCCTCGTCGTTGCCCGCCGCCTGGGCCGTGTGGTCGGTCTGGCGGCTATGTCGTCGCCGTCGCCGCCTGGTCGCCGCGTCGTCTCATCCCGTCGCCTGGGCCTTGCTGCGCAGTGCAATCCAATCGGTTGCAATGCAATCGCTTGCAATGCAGTCGATTGTAACACAATCAATTGCCGTCGGTTGCAAATCCACATAGTTTGTACCACACAGCTTACACGATTTCAATCGAGGCGATTGCAATGTCATCGATACCATTCCAATCGATTGCAATCCAGTCGGTTGCAATCGACTGTACCTCACACGTGCCACCACATACATTGCACCACACAGCTTGCACGACTGCAATCCAATCGACTGCAATCCAGTAGTCCAATTGATTGCAAATCAGTTGGGTGCAATCGACTGCACCGCATAGCTTACACCACATAGCTCACTCTGCATAGAGAACTACGTTCGCTCATATCACATGGATTGCACTACATAGCTTACGCAACGTTGCTCTCGCCACATACGTGAGCACGCTAGCTCTTACCACTTACGCAGCTTGCACCACATAGCTCTCATATCATAGATGCGCGCGTTAGCTCCTACCACATATATTGCACCGCATAGCTTGCATCACGTATGTCGCGCCACCTACATGAGTATGCTAGCTCTTGCCACATAAGTGGCACCACAGAGTTTATACCATATTGCTCGCACCACATACAAGAGCACGCTAGCTCCTACATTATTGCCATCACCAAATAGCTTACACAACGCAGCTCGCACAGCATAAATGAGTAGTTGAGCTCATACACATACAAGCATTCGTACGTTGGCTGCTGCTGGCTGGCTGTCGGCCTGGCGGCTAATTATGTGGCCGCCGTCGCCGCCTCGTCGCCGCCCGTCGTCTGGGCCTGTCTATCGGTCTGGCGGCTACGTGGCCGCCGTCGCCGCCTTGTCGCCGGCCTAGAGTGCACAACATAGATTTCACCGCATAGATTGCACCACAACGGTTGCACCGCATATATTGCACCGCATATATTGGACCACATAGGTTTCGCAAGATGTATTGCGTCGCACAGATTGCACCACATTAGTTGCACGACATAGACTGCACCGCCTAGAATGTTCAGCTTGTACTGGCCCACACATATTGCACCATACGTATATTTATACATTTTTCTATATAAATGTTTTTATGTGCACCTATTTATACATATATATATATATATTTATCGTAGTAGGCCTCATACAGGCCCCGGACAACGACCATGAGTACACATGGGTGGGCAGGCGCTCCAGGGGCGCCCCCGTGGTTTCCAAAGTGACCTCGTGGTCGCACAGAGGGCCCACACATTGGCACGACAGTCTACCAGACTGGGTCTAGCACACCCCGAGAGCACCGAAGAAAATGCTTTCTGAGCTGCCTCCGAAGGCTTCCAGGCTGTGCCAGGACGGCCCCGTGCAAGCTTCAGTGGGCGCCCGAGGCCCCAGATGAGTACCCCGAGAGGCACAAATCATTGTTTTCGCAAGGGTGTTTGAATGTTTTCGGTGCCCTCTCTTCGTCGACATCCTGACACTCCACGACATCCCACGAAGCCTCTGACACCGCTTCAGGACGGGCCCAGCGGCCCCCAGGAAGGCCCTGGGACAGCCTGGCGGGGCTCCATGACGCCCCCAGGGGCGCCCAAGACGGCCCACCAGGCCCTCAAGACGGCCCCAAGACGGCTTCCAGAGGGAGGTCACGAACCGAAATTCCGAGTCTTTCGCCTCCTGAAGTTTCCCGGAGGCCTCCAGAAGGCGCCAGGACGGCCCTGGGCAGGCTCCAGAGAGGGTCCGAGGCGCCAGCTGGGTGCCCCGAGTTTCAAAAATCAATGATTCGGCTTGGGCGATGGTTTTTCAATGTTTTCGGTGCCCTCTCTTTTTCGATATCCTGACACTCCACGACGGCCCACAAGGCCTCCAACACTGCCGTAGGACGGGCCCGGCGGCCTCCGAGAAGGCCCCGGGACGTCCAATCAGGTTTCCATGACGCTCCCAGGGGCGTCCAAGATGGCCCACGAGGCCCTCAAGACGGCTCGAAATGACGAAAGCGTACCAGTGGATGGCCCTGAATACATAAAAGGAGGGGTGTGCTCGCAAACCCCCCCCCCCTCCCCCTTCAAAGGGGGGGTGAGATTTTCGACCCCCCCCCTCCTCCCCTTATGGGGGGGGGTCCGGTCCGACCTCCCCCCTCCTCCCTTGAAGGGGGGGGCGGGGGTTGGACCCCCCCTCCCCCCCTTCCCTGGCGCTGGAAATGGGGGGTGGGGGTTGGACCCCCCCGCCCCCCCTTCCCCCCTCTGCGCCGAACAGGGGGCTGGGGAGGGGGCCTCTCGGGTAGTGAGTAGGGAGTATAGTGTTTTGAGTAGCGATTGGTGAGTAGTGGGTACTTGATAGTGAGTAGTGCGCAGTGAGTGGTGAGTAGTGAGTAGTGGGTAATGGGTAGTGGTCGTAGTGAGTACCGCGTAGAGATTCGTGAGTACTGAGTACTGAGTAGTGGGTAGTGAGTAGCGGGAAGGAAGTAGCGAGTAAGGAAGTGTGAGTAGTTGGTAGTGAAGAGTGAGTAGTGTGTAGTGAGTAGTGCATAGTGAGTAGTAAGCAGGGAGTAGGGATGAGGGAGTAGACAGTAGCGAATAGCGAGGAGTAAGTCGTGAGTAGTGAGTAGTGAGTAGTGCGCAGCGAGAAGAGAATAGCGAGTAGTGAGTGGTGAGTAGCGAGTAGCGAGTAGGGAGTAGCGAGTAGTGAATAGCGAGTAGCGAGTAGGGCGTTGTGAGTAGTGAGTAGTGAGGAGGGAGTAGTTGCGAGTCACTAGTGAGTGGAGAGTCGGGAGTAGTGCGTAGCGAGTCGGGAGTAGCCACTAGTGAGTAGTGATCAGTGAGTTGTGAGTAGTGAGTAGGGAGTAGTGAGTAGTGAGTAGTGAGATGCGAGAAACGAGAAGTGGGCAGTGAGTAGTGGGTAGTGAGTAGGGAATAGCGAGTCGAAATTCGTGAGTAGTGTGTCGCTAATAGTGAATAGTGAGTAGTAAGTAGCGAATTGCGACTAGTGACTAGTGAGTAGGGAGTAGGATGTAGTGGGTAGTGAGTAGCGTGTAGTGCGTAGTGGGTAGCGAATATGGCGTAGTCTGTAGCGAGTAGCGGATAGTGCGCAAGGAGTTGTGGGCAGTGCGTAGCGAGTAGTGAATTGTGAGGTCCCAGCAGGAGGTAGTGGATTGTGGTGAGTGGGTCGTCGGTAGTGATTCGTGAGTAGTGGGCAGTGAGTAGTGTTTAGTGTGTAGTGAGTATAGAGTAGTGAGTAGTGAGTTGTTTGTAGTGAGTACTGAGTAGCGAGCAGGGGTAGGGAGTAGTGAGTAGTGGGAGCGTAGTAAGTAGTGGGTAATGTGTAATGAATTGTGCGTATTGGGTAGCGAGAAGGGCGTAGGGAGTAGCGAGTAGAGAGTAGTGAGTAGTGAGTGCTGTGTATGGGGATAGGGGGTAGCGTGTAGCGAGTCGTGGATAGTGAGTTGTACGTGCGTCGTGGGTAGTTAAGTGTGAGTAGTGAGTCATGGATAGTGGTTAGTGGGTAGTGATTTGTGATTTGTGATTACTGGGTAGTGGGTAGTGAGTTGTGTTAGTGAGTAGCGAGTAGCAAGTAGGGGGTAGTGAGTAGTGAGTTGTTCGTAGTGAGTACTCAGTAGTGAGTAGGGAGCAGGGACTAGTGGGTAGTGCGTCGTGGGTAGTGCGTCGTGGGTAGTGAGTAGTGAGTAGTGAGTAGCGAGAGGTGAATAGTGACTGGCCAGTAGTGAATTGTGGGTAGTGAGTAGTGCGTGATGAGTAGTGAGTGCTGTTTGGGGCTAGGGGTTGGGGTTCGTGTTAGGGTTGGGGGTTAGGGTACGGGCGAGGATGGGGCGCCGTGGCGACAGGGGGGGATGGGGGGGGGAGGGGCCGAATTTGGCGGCCACAAGGGGGGGGGGGAGGGGTCGGACCCCCCCACCTTTTTGAAAGGGAAAAGGGGGGAAGGGGGGGGGCGGGCCCCCGACGACGGACCGGGGAGGAAGGGGGGGGGTCCCCGACGACGGATCGGAAAAGGGGGGGGGAGGGGGGATCCCCGACGACGGATCGGGGAAAGGGGGGGGAGGGGGGTTCCCGTTCCCACCCCCCCCCCTTGGGGTCATCCAGCGGCGCGCCCTCCGAAATGACATCCAGAGGGAGGGCATACACCTAAATTTCGAGCTTTCCGCCTCCCGAAGCTTAAGGAGGCGGCAAGACGGCCCCAGGCAGGCTCCAGATGGCGCCCGAGGCCCCAGTGCCCCGAGAAACAAAAGTCACTGCTGCTGCTGAGATTTTTCAAAGTTTGCGGGCCCCCCTTTCTTCAAGCTTCCGACAATCCACGACGGCCCAAGAGGCCTCTGACACAGTTTCGAGACGAGCCCAGAGGCGCCCAGGAGGTCCGGGACCGGCCTAACAGAGCTCCTTCACGACCCCAGGGGCGCCCCAGACGGCCTCCGAGGCCTTGAAAACCGCACTCCCGTTGCATAAAACCTATCAGCGGCATGCCGCCGCCGCGCGCGCGCGAAATTTCGTCCCGTTGTATCACATCTATCAGCGGCATGCGCGCGCGCTGGCGCTTGGCAGTTTTGCATTCAGTGTCGTATATATACCTGGGGATGTTCCCGTCTTCCGATCAGAGAATGGGTTTTTTACTTTGGGTTTTCGCCATTGGATTTGGAGTTCAACCTCGCTCCCGTTGTATACAATTTATCAGCGGCGTGCAGCCGCCGCGCGCGCGTTGGCGACTGGCATTTGCGCAGTCGTTGTCGTATAACTATCCACATGGGGATGTCCCAGTCTTCCGATCAGGGAATGAATTTTCACATTGGGTTTTCGCCAGTGGGTTTTGGACTTCAACATGGCTCCCGTTGTTTAAGAAAACCAAAAACAATCAGCGGCATGCCGCCGCCGCGCGCGCGCGCGCTGGCGATTGGCATTCGCGCATTCAGTGTCGTATGTCCACATGGGGATGTCCCCGTCTTCCGGTCCGAGAATGGTTTTTTACATTAGGTTTTCGCCAATGCGTTGAGGAATTCAACATCGCTCCCGTGGCATAAAATCTATCAGCGGCGCGCCGCCGCCGCGCGCGCGTTGGCGATTGGCACGTGTGCACTCAGTATCGTATATCCACATTGGGATGTTCCCGTCTTCCGATCAGGAAATGAATGTTTACATTGGGTTTTCGCCATGGGGTTTTGGAGTGCAACATCGTTCCCGGTGTATCAAGTCAATATGCGACATGCAGCCGCCGCGTTCGCGCTTGTTGGCGATTGGCAGTTTAGTATTCAGTGCCGTATATCCACATCGGGACGTTCCCGTCCTCCGATCAGAGAATGATTTTTTACATTGGGTTTTCGCCATTGGGCTTTGGAGTTCCAATTTCGTCCCATTGCATAGAATTGATCCGCGGCAAGCCGCCGTCGCGCGCGCGCGAAATTTCGTCCCGTTGTGTAAAATCTGTCAGCGGCATGCCGCCGTCGCGCGCGCTGGCGCGCGGCATTTTTGCATCTAGTGTCGTATATCCACATTGGGATGTCCCCGTCTTCCGATCAACAAATGAATTTTAACATTGGGTTTCCGCCATTGGGGTTTGGAGTTAAGCATCGCCCCCGTTGTATAAAATCTATCAGCAGCGTGCCGCATTTGCGTATTCAGTGCCGCTTCGCAACCCAGACAGGGCGCGCGGTGCGCAGGGGGTGGTCCCCCAGCGCAGTTTCTATCCACGCCGGGGTCGCAGGGCGTGGCCGGCGTGGCCTGACGCCAAGAGGGGGTGCGCAGGAATCTGCCCTTGCACGCAGGGCGCCAGGGCGGTCGCGGGGACGTATCCAGCGATCCAGTTTGCCCCGTGTCCTTTTTGTTTTCTACAGGCGCACTACAGCGCAAGGGAAAACCATGTGTTAAATTGTCTCCCAAAAATATGTTTAAACCGTTTTTCATTACGAAGCTTCAACTCCCACCTCATGCTAGCTAATTCCCAACCCTGCCCTCCTCTATCCCCCCTCCCCATTGAGTTGCCCGAGTGGGGGAGGGGGTGTTCACTAATAGGGAACAGTGATCAGCTACTCCAAGCCGCACGCCGCGTCGCTCACTCCAACCCGCCTTCCATACACGCAGGCAGCATCCGAGCCTGGGGCCCCGATCGCATGGAATTCTTGAGTCCCGTCAGAAGCACAGAGCAGATAATATGAGGGCACCCCCGCCGCCCCTATCAAAAACCAATGCAGTGTGATCGCGGTGCGCCCGCGCATGATCCAGATTTTGTCGCAAAGTTTACTTCGCATGGCCTTTGTCAGGAAACGTGAGCCTGCACAGAGCATGAGGGCACCCCCCTGCCGCCCTCTCTGCCAGTAAACCGGTACAGAATGTTCGCGGGACGTCCGCGCAGGAACCAGCATTTGTCCCACGGCGTACTTTCCATTCTGTGCTGGCACACAGGGCGGATCTGGGCAGAGGGGACATGTTGAGGCTGCCGGGGCCGCCCCGGATTCAAAAGGGCCCAGATGTTGCCGCAACGTGTGTGCGTGTGTGTGTTGGCAGCGTATGATTGACAGGAACGGCAGGCCTGCGTGGAGCAAAACATAGGTCGGCGGGCACGTGAGAAGGAAAAGGCCTTCTCAGAAGGCGGCGGGACTTATCAGAACACGCGCGCCTTCTGAGAAGGCTCAGAACACTTTTTCAGAAGACCGTGGGACTTCTGAGCCTTCTGAGAAGGCCCGCCCCCTTCTCCTTTCCCCCCCTCGCTCGCCGCCCAATGGGAGGGCCTCCCCGCCGTCCGCTGCGCAACCGGGGCGCCCGCGCACGGTCCGAGCTTGGCCTCCAGGCGAGCTCCTCTCGGCAGGGATGGCGCGGGGGGGGGGCGGGGGCGGGGAGGGGCGCACCGTGCCCGGCCGTGTCGCCGGTCTGGCGGGATGGGGCGTCAATACAGTCGGGCCCCTGAAGAAGGAACCCTTTTCGTTGGGAAGGGGCTCCGTGTTTCTTAATTGTGTCACAGCTTGCCTCAAGTGCTCCTCATGTTTTCGATGGGAAATCGAAGTTCAACTTATGGTAAAAAGGCGCATCGTTCTTTATTTGGGGTTCCTTAGGTCAACGCCCCGACTGTAGATTCACCTGGGGCCTCCTGGGGAGGATTCGTTTTCCAGCAGAAGCCCAATCTACAGGAACAGACGTAAAGCACTTCGGATTGGACTCGCAGGATAAAGGCAGTCTATAGGAACACAAGTAGAACACCGAGGACTCGTGCCCCAGGGGAGGCCCAATCTATAGGAACAGACGTAAAACACGTGTGATTGGCTACGCGGAGAAGGACAACCTACAGAACCACACATCTACCACCAGCCAGGGGGGTGGCTGTCCCACCCTCTCGAGCTGGTGGCACCTCGTTCCGGGCATGCCTCCAGGGAGTGCCCAGAAAGAGGTGCCATCAGCTCAAGGGGAGGGAGCGGCCACCCCCGTAGTTGGTGGGAGTGGTACTTCTCTCCTGATATACTTGTAGGAATTAGTGATCAACGTTGCCCCGAAGGGGAAGAAGGGAGAAAATGGAGGAGGAAGCGTTGTAAACCACCTCAGTCCAGAGGGCTGGTGGGATTTGCTCGTCCCGGCTGAAGGATGGCAGCTTCATCCTGGGGGACATATTGGTCGCGCGCAACCCTTGCCAACTACCATCCGACGTTCAGGTATTCGAAGGCGTGGACGGCAAACACATTGAGGAAACGCACCAGGTGGACGGACTGCTCATCCTGAGTTCGCATCCCTCGTGCCCTCGATGTCCCGCGCAATTGCTCGCTGGGGGCGACCACGACGGGGACGATGCGTTCATTACTTGGTGGAGTGAACTTGTCCAGGACGTCAAGTGCGTGCCCGACGACCAACCGTTCACAAGCAAGTTCACGACATGCTCCAGGGACAGGCCTTGTCCTCCAAAAAGAGTGGGCGTTGTCACTTCGGGCGGTTCTCGGGTGCAGGACGTGCTGGAGGAGGAATGCGCATCGGCGGCCAGGAATCCCCAGAAATGGGGCGTTGGTTGCTTCACGAACTTGTGGGAGACAGCGGCGGAGTTTGAGCCCGATGGCGCGTATTCGGACGTCGCCGTGGAGCTCGCGTTGCTCTGCCGGGAGGCCGTGGACGCTCCGAAGACGGGGTGGCAGCCTTGCAGCGGCGTCGTACAGAGGCTCCAAGAGAGGCTGTCAAGGCTCGTGAAACTACCCTTCCATAATTTTCCCAAAACCGCCCGTCGAGAAACTGCACTTCCAAACGAATTGGCCTTTCTGGAAACTGCCCTTCCAAATTAATTGCTTTCGACAAACTGCCCTTCCAAGCTACTTGCCCTTCCGGCAACTTCCCAAAACTATCCTTCGAAAGACTGCCCTTCGAAAACTGCCCTTCCAGAAGCTTCCCAAAACTGCCCTCCCAGAAACTGACCAAGACTGCCCTTCCAGAAACTGCCCTTCCCAACAAAGAATTGCCTTTTCTGGAAGTGCAGGTTTTGCGAGGGGCCGGAGCCCCCCCCCACCTGGTCCAGAGAGAAAGAGCAGCAGCAGGGAAGCAGGGCGGAGGTAGGGCAGCCGAAAGGGGGGGAGCGAGGAGGAGAGAGGAGAGGGGGAGGGAAGAAGGTGGCGAGGGGGAGAGAGACGGAGAGGAGAGGGGGAGAGGGAGAGAGGAGAGGGAGGGGGAAGAGAGGGTGAGAGGGACGGAGAGGGAGAGGAGGAGAGTCGAAGAGCAGAGAACGGCAGAGACATGAACTTTCGACGCTCCGCGCGGATTTCGTGGATCTGCGCTGGAGCCCGCGGGCGGGGCCTTCGGCGCCGCCGTTGGCGCGCTCCGCGCGCCAGGGAGGGGGGTCCAGCTCAGATCCAAGAAATCCGCGAGTTCCGTCGACCGTTTATGTTTATGCCGTTTTGTCTCCTTCTGGAGAGGTTTGTTTTGGTCATCCGCGGGGCTCGCAGGCTGAACCGCCACTCGCGCAACTCGCTGAACCCTCGCAGCGTGCGGGGGCGCCTCGACGAGGACATCAAGGGCGACATGGCGTGCTTCGAGAGGGTGGTGCAGCAGTGTCGGCCAAACGAAGCGCTGTCGCAGGCAGACGGACACAAAGTAGTGTCAAGTCGGGCCTGTCCCTCTACGAAAGGAACATTCCAAAATAGTCACAACATAGTCTGGGGACGATTGCTTGATCATTTGAGCGTATGTTTGATATGTTTGACGTTTGTATTTTTCGCCCAAAGCCCACCTGTGGGAGGACATGCCCAACCTAAAAGTAGTGTCATCATTACACGCGTATTTGGTTATTTATCCACCTCCCCATTCTCCCTCCTCCCCCGTCGTACCTGCTCCTGAAGGCTCGCTTCAACTCGCTTATGTCACATAAGTGTCCCCACTGGGCGGGCGGCAGACGCGCGAACACATGACTGGCGTTTGTCTCTTCCTCCTTCTCTTCGTACTCCTCGCCGTCGTCCTCCTCTCTCCTCATCGCTCACTTCCACCTCCCTCCATCCTCCATCCGTTCTCCTTCACCTCCTCCACCTCCGCCTCATCCTCCTCCCTCCCTACCTCCCTCCCTCCCTCCTCGTTGTCGTCCAGATTCCTCGTGAAATGGGTGTTTGCCAGCAGTTGCCCCATTCACCTCCTGCTTCCGTCCTCGTGCGTACGTATCGTCCTCATCCTCATGCGTGGCCTCGCCGCCCTGCGTAGCCGGTCGCCCCTCTCCTGTCCGTTCTCCTCCTCCCCCCGCATCCTTGCCCTCGTGTCGTCCCTTAATCCTCCGGGTCACCCTCACTCTGCCAGGACGGAAGAGTTGTTCTGGTCTCCTCTCTCCCCCGATCATGTCAAGAGCGGGGAGCGCCTTTCCTCGCACCGGTCTCTCTCGCTGGACGTCGAGCAGCGTTCGCGAAACCGGTGCTCGCGCTCAGGGGTTCTTACGTTCATGTCTCTGTCAAGTGGACGCGTTCGCCGATCATGTTCCACTGCGCCGCCTCGAGTCGGGGGAGCGTAAGACCTGGGTTTGCCGGGACTCGGGTTCGCCATCGTTTTTTGACGACCGCGCCTCGGATTTTGACGAGGAGGAGTTTCGTGGGATGTCTGCAGCGGGAGGCCTCGTCAAAATGCAGGCTCGGCCTCGTCATTTTTTTGACGACCTCGTCGGGGATTTCCGAGTCCCCCGTACCCGGGTCTTACGTCTCCCCGATCGTGGGCGCTCGTGGGTGCCCCGACCGTTGGGTGGGTCCACCGAGGCTGCGCCGCGTTGCCGCCCGTGCCGCCTCGTGGGCGCTCGTGGGCGCCCCGTGCGCTGAGCTTACACCCTAGGCGATGCTTAAGAAAACCTAAGTTTTCGGCCAGAGTCTCGATTATTCTTAATGTTTCGATGTAAATCCTAAGATTTGAATGGACATGTTGGGTTTTTATTCAAATTCTGAGACTCTGAATTTCTTAACCCATGATTTCTTAAGCATTTCGCAGGGTGTACACGGAATGGCTCGTCCCATAGTCTACGCCGCATGGGTTCCACGTCCACAGTGCAGTAACCCACCGTTTGGGGACTCACAGGGGCCAGCAGTTTCTGTTTCATGTGGCGTGTTTTTGTTTGGACCAAAAAGGCAGTGTTCTGCACGGTCTTTCCTGCAGTGCGCTTTTTCTGCATCGGATCGCATCCCGCCGCTGGTGATGCTTGGTCATTCCGAAGGGCGCGTTCGCCCCTGCGGCTGCCGCGCTCCTGCCCCCAACCGCCCACTGCACACCCGACACGAGCACTCGCGGGCGATGTTTCTCCCCCAATCCCCGAGTTTCGCCCGAAAAGTTTGGCCGCTCAGAAATATTGGGAAACCCTGGGATGCACCCCAAGGGGGCTACTCGGACGCACCCCTGTCGGGGATGGACCCCCCTCCCATCGTATATCCCAGGGCTGGGCCCCAAATTTCTGGCCCGTTCGGAAGCCCCACGCAGCCTGGGATAGGGGTCACAATGTACCCTGTTGAGTACTGCTCTCGTCTCTCGCCTGACGCTGTCCGGTGCGGGGGGCCGCCTCTCCCGCGGGTGCAGCTGCGGCGCCGCCTCCAAAAAAGGGCCGCCGAGGCTCCGCGCGCCGCCCGGGAGGCCCAGGCCCCGGAGGCGCGGGACCGCCACGGAGCTCGCTGTCGTCGGCGTGCCGCCGCCGTCGTCGTGATATTGCTTCATCCTGGTCGTTTTCGTCGCCTTCCTCCTCCCTCCTCGTCGCCTTCCTCCTCCCGCCTCATCGCCTTCCTCGTCTCGTCGCCTTCCTCCTCCTCCTTCGTCCTGGCCGTGCTCGTCGCCTGTCCCTCCTCCCCCGCTGTCCTTCTGATCCCTCTCGCCCATCCGTTCGCGATGGCCCCTCGCCCCCTTACACTGCAAAGACTGCTCAAGAAGCAGGGCATCATCTGACACCTGGACCTTTCGAACGGGAAAGAGATTCTTAGGCGTACGCCACACTGCCGATCCCTTTGGGGACTAGCGGTTGTTGCGTGTTGCTCTTGTGGGCCTCTTGGGCGCTTTTGGGGGCTTCGTGGAGCTCTTTTCATTAGCGACGACGTCTACGGCGAATCACCGCCGCCGTCTGCCTTTTTGGAAGCGCCTGTGTGGCCGAACGTTGAGGCCAGACCTGCCGAGCTATCGGACCATGTGTTCCCCGAATCGGTTTGGAAAGCCTTCGGGGAACATGTGGGCATCTTGAGGGTCATCTTGGCCGCCTGGAGGCCATTTTGACCCTTTCGGGTCTTTTTGGAAGGCTCTTGGGCCGCCTTCGAGGCCATCTTGAGCGTTTTGGAGGCCTCTTGGGCCTTCTTGGGGGCCTCTTGGGGGCGTCTTGGGCGATGTTTGGGGGCACTTGGGCCGTCGGCAGGCAGAAAAAAAACAAATGCCACAATCCTTCAAAACTCTGGGGCATTCAATGATTTTGGCCTTTTCGGGCCTTCCTGGAGGCCCTCTTGGAGGCCTCTTGGGCCGTCCTGGGCCATCTTAAGGCCATCTTCGGCTGTCTTGGTGGGCTCCTGGCACGTCTGACGCCGTCGGGAGCCGTCTTGGGGGCCTCTCTGGGCCGACTTTATGGCCCTCTTGGGGCGCTTCGGGGCCGTCTTAGAGGCCATCTTGGGCGTCTTGGGGGCTTCTTGGCCCGTCATGGGGCCATCTTGGAGGCCTCTTGGGCGATCTTGGGGCGACCTTGGGGTCTCTTGGGCCGTCTTGGGCCGACGGAAAGACGAAAAGGCGCAAATACCAAAAGCCTTCAAACACCTTAGGAAAATCACTGATTTTCGCCTCTTCGGGCCTTCCTGGAGGACCTCTTGGAGGCCTCTTCGGCCGTCTTGGAGGCCTCTTGCGGTCCACCTGGGCCAATCTAAGGCCGTCTTGGGTGCATCTTGGGCCGTCTTGGAGCCATCTTGGGGCCATCTTAGCCGTCTTGGAGGCCATCTTGGCCGTCTTGGAAGCATCTTGGAAGCCATCTTGGCCGTCTTGGAGGCCATCTTGGGCGTCTTCGAGGCCTCCTGGCCCTCTTGGGGCCGTATTGAGGGCCTCTTGGGCCGTCTTCGGGCCATCTTGGAGGCCTCTTGGGCGATCTTGCGGCGACCTTGGGGGCCTCTCGGGCCGTCTTGGGCCGTAGGAAAGCCGGAAAGGCGGAAATGCCAAGGTCCTTCAAAAACCTAAGGAAAATCAATGATGTTGGCCTCTTCGGGCCTTCCTGGAGGACCTCTTGGAGGCCTCTTCGGCCGTTTTGGAGGCCTCTTCGGAGCCTCTTGGGCCGTCTTGGGCCAGCTTGAGGCCATCGTAGGCCGTCTTGGGTGCATCTTGGGCCGTCTTGGAGACATCTTGGGGCCATCTTAGCCGTCTTGGAGGCCTTCTTGGCCGTCTTGGAAGCATCTTGGAGGCCATCTTGGGCGATCTTGGAGCCGTCTGGGGCAGGAAAACCCACGGCAACCACCTCCAGAAGAGGCTGGAAGAGCCTCCCGAGACCCCGGCGGGACGCGCCGAAGGCCCAGGGGGAGTTCTTTGGGAAAAAGAACCAAAACCAAAACCGATAGGATTCGGCACGCCAGGCACCCCTGCGATGAATCGACAGGGGGCGGCGCATCGAATGGCCTTCGGCACATTCCGCCACCGTGCCTGGGCTGCGGGTCGGAGGCCACGCGGATGGCAGATGGGGTCTCGTGGGAGGTGTCTCGGGGGCGTTTGGGAGGCGACTGTTGCTCTTGCCGGGGGCCTCCTGGGTGCCTCTTGGTGGCTTTTTGGGGATCTCTCGGAGCTCCCTGGGGGCCGGCCTATTGGAGGCTTCTTTGGGTAACCATGGAGCGTTTTGGGGCCGAAGGCTCGAACTGTCCGTTCGGGTTCCCCCCTGGCCCCCCTCTTAGGGCTGTCCTTGGGGCCCCCTGGGCCATCTTGGGGGCTTCTTGCGTGGTCTTTGGGCCCCCTCGGGTCGTCTGGGAGCCCTCTTGGGCCGTCTTGGGGCGATCTAGGAGGCTTCTTGGGCCGCGTTGGACGTTGCTAACGCTCAAGAGACGCATGTGTTTAGTTAAAATGATTGCTTTCCTCAGGGGATAGAACGATGTTTGCTCTTGGAGGCTCTCTTGGGGCGCATCTTGGGAGCTTACTGGGGTGTCTTGGGGGCCTCCTCGGGCCCTGTGGAGGCCAGCGTGAGCGCTTTGTATTGACTTGAACCGTCCGAAAGGCCTCTTGGGGCCCTCCTGGCTTGTTGCGGGGCCCCCTGTCCCCATGGGGCGGTCCCCGTGGGACCCCCCCCTTTCCCACTCCCTCCCGGGGAATGGGTTTGGAGAGGGGGAAGCATCTCGCGCGCCAATGAACCTCAAGGGGTCGGCGGATTTGAGCACAATGGAAAGGTATGGGAGGGATGGGTAGCATGCCAGATGTGGCGCGAGTTCACCTTTCATGTCGCTCCTCCCGTTTCCTGTCTCTCGTATTGTCAACTATCTTCCCAGTCCTCGTCCCTCTCGTCTTCCTCCCGGATCGTCTTTCTCCCCTCTTCGTCCTCCACAATTTTATGGCCCAATTGGGTTTGAAGGGTTTTCCAGGAGCCTCTCATGTCATCTTAGGGTTCCATTGGAGCCTGTTTTCGGCCCTCTTGAGAAGTCACTGGCCCTTCTAGGCTGCCTGGGAGCCTTCTTGGCTGCCTGGGGGCCATGTCAAGGGCCTCCTGGGCCTGATTGTTGGGGGCATCTTTTGACCTTCTTGGAGCTGTGTGGGGGACGGGCCGTCTTGTGGTTCTACTGGGTACAGCCTCAGAGGCCAACCACCTGGACAGCGGTACCAAGCCAGCAGTAAACCTTCGAAGCTGCAAGTTCTGTCCGTAGCATCGCGCTTGTCAGCATCATTGCAATTACAGCTGCAACCGTTACCGTGCTTGATAGTGTTGCTGTCATTCCCCCATTAGTGCTTGTAGTTACTGAGGGGGTCCTAGAGGAGGTTGAAAGATTTGGCGAAAGTTTCCGCCGATTTTGGTAGCAGGCTGGGTTCCCAGGTTCCCGGTTCCGGGTTCCCGGGTTCCCGGTCATTGGTGCCGGGCCGATTTCGGGGGGTTTTGGGTTTCCGGGCTCCCAGGTTCCGGGTCGATCTCCTCAGCGAAGACCATCCCCTGATTGGGATTTTGTCTCTAGTGTAATTGTCGTATTGTCATTGGTGTTCCCCCACCAGGCCCCCAGGTCGCTCCAGGACGCTCCACTGGGCCGTACTGGAGCATGCTGGAGCATGAGACCCGAGGCCACACGCCCGAGGCGCGGAGATCCGCAGGATAGCGCGAGAGCCCCAGGGGAGCGTTCGGAGCACAAGAGCAGACCCTCTTCCACTGCGCACGACTGAAATCAGGAGGGAAAAAGCACAGACACAATGAATCGTCGATTCCCCAGAAAATATGGGAACATATGGGAAGTGGGGGGGAAGACAGAAACTCAGAAAATATGGGGAAATATAGGGAATATTTGTATTTGTGTCTATTTAATTGTGTGTCCCAGGGCCCCTTCATAGAACTACGACCGCCATTACTATTGATTGCGAGCTAGCACCACCACCGCGACCACTGCGACTACTGCCGCTGCCACTGCTGCACCCAGTGCCTTAGACTTCAGACTTGCGCGCACGTCATGCCAGGGACCCAGGATGAAGCCAGGACGGGGATATGATAAAATGGGGCCTTGCCGAGCTTGGTACCTCCCAAAGAGGCCGACCCAAAGATGCACGACCTCCTCGTCCGATTGCGCCGCCAAGACGTGCTTGGGGAACAGGCGAGAGATGCCGACGAGATTGGCAAGGTGGGTGCGGCCAGAAGGATGCGTATGGGGAGCTTGAGTGCAGCCAAGACGTTGAACTAAGGACCACGTCGGGGCTCAGGAGGAGCTTCGGTTGTCGGGCAGTTCCTTATGGTCAGGTCGGGAACCTATTCTTGGCCGAGGCTCGCTGTGGCCAGAATCTTTGCTGCACGACGTGCTTATTTCACGGCGTTGGGCTCGGTAGCACGATGATTGTAAGAGGGGGAGAGAGAAAGTCGGAGAAGGAGGAGGAGTAGCAGGAGGAGGAGGAGGAGGAGGAGAGGAGGAGGAGGGCGGGATGGACATCATCGAGAGGGAAGGGCGGACTGGGGGAAGAGAGAGAGGGACAATGGAGCAAGGGAGAGCAGGCGGAAGAGAGGAAAGGAGAATTGTGAGGGACAGAGGAACAGTCACAGGCCTTTGTGTTAGCCACCGTGGACCCCCAACAGTTTGTTTCTAGTAATAGATGGTGTGCTTCATATGCGGAACAAACTATGTTGTGCAATCTATGTTGTACAATCGATGCCGCGCAATACATACATATCTATATTATATAATATATATATAGTTATATATATATATATATATATAATGTAAGAAGCGTGTTCTAACCGCTGTGCTGGCAGAAACCGCGGGGAGTTCCACTACCGGTTTCGAACCCCCCCCCCCCCCACCTCCGGAAAAACCGGGGGGTCACTACCGTTCGAACCCCTCCCCCCCCCCCCCGCAGCTCATCCATGAAAAGGGGGGGGGGTCACTACC